CTCATAGAGGGCTCGTTACACCTCCGCAGGTGGCCCCCCTCAGGTGCCACAGACTCGCCGGAAGCTGTGCAGGCTGCTGGAGCAAGAAAAGAACTTTAAAGAACTTAAAAAGGCCCATTGAAAACTAATAGGCCCCAAATGCCTTCAAACCCGCTCGGCTTCAAAAAGGCCTTTCGAAGCCAAGAAACAGCTCATATGGATTCAAAAGCCCATTTGTTGGCCACACAAGCCATTTAACTACTTCAGCAATTGCCCATGTTTCCTGCCGCCCTGTGATGTGTGACGCCATCCCATTCGCAGCCTTTGTCTAGCGAGACGAGCTACTTGGAAGCACTCTGTTGTCTCAGCGCACAAAGCTAAACCCAAGCCTATCCTAGCAACATCCTGACCTACACTTGAGGTTCATGGAGGGTAGCCATCGGCAATGGTCTCAAATACGCACGCGCCTGAGCAAGAAGAAACTCCCCTGAACACCCAAGCTGCCACTCCCAGATTTGGCCCAGGTCTGTTGGACGTGGACTTGCAGCGAAAGAAGACCATAGTGACCGTGTGTGCCGATCCCCAGGCGAACCGGCAGTCTGCGTGGAAATTTGCAGACCTTGCAAAGCTTTGCTTTGCTTCATCTAAAGACGGGACCCAGAGCTCGAAGCTGAGGGATTTTCTGCCTGAGATACATGCATTTCACAAGCAGCTGTGGCCGGGAGAGGACGTTCCTGCAGAGGTGACTTTCAATGTGGATGCACAGGACATTCATTGGAGAACCAAGTTTGTCACGACGTCTCTTATGTTCGCGATCATTACCTGCCTTGCCAAACACACTAAGCGAGGCCCTACCGGTAGAATGTTGAGCTTCCGCGTGTTCAAGAAGATGGTAGACACATTGTGCGCCACCGAACAAGGCCTAGGCATAGAGCTCATGATTCTTCGTACGAATGGGCAGGTTGCCTGGCGCAGGGTGCACTTGTTTGATCCGCATTCAGCCGAACTTTGGGACATGCGTCATTTCCAGGAAGAACTTGAGTTTACGTGGACTACGGATCGCAATGATTTGAAGAAACCCTGGATCCAGTCCCATGGCCGAATGCCGCATCTAGCAGAGTGGTGCATGTTCTTGTTGGATGTCCCGGCCCGCATGCAGAAGACGCGGCGACCACTAGCGGCATTGAAGGTTCAGCTACAGGCTGGGGCCCTTTCTGTTATTACACAGATAGCAGCTGCTATTGATTCCAGGGTGACGGAGGTCACTGGCAAGATCTCTGATTTCAGGCTTATAGCGCACCGCAGAGACAAGTTGGCAATCTGGACGACAGTTGGCCATGCTGTTGAGAAACTTTGGAACGGCACAGCCATCTAGCTGCAGTACTGATGATACAGAAACCAGTGGCCCCAAGTCCTGTAACTTTTTCAATTGAAAGGCAATTGTCTTCTATGGTACCCTTGCGCGCTCAGGCGAGCTTCTGGCGCCAGGCCCTCGATGATGTGGGCCTGCCGAGTCTCAAGGCTGCATCTGCAGCGCATCGTTTCCAGGCGGGACAGCAGGAGTCATGTTATTTAAAGATGTGTATAGATGTCTTAGGAAGAGTTTGTACGCGAGGTCACATATTTGTCTCGCCTGCGAACGGAGCTTGTGGGCGAGAAGCATCTCCAGGTGGATGCTGGCTCATGCTTGATCAATGTAGAGGCCGCTTTGTTGCTTGCAGGTACAGTTCGACGGCTCGGACTGTCAAGGTATGCCAACTGAGATCTGGCACGTCTACGCGCCGTTCAGGGGTATCGGTGGGTATGCCCCACCACAAGCCTGGGGCTCAGCTGCGTGGGCAACATGACAGGATGCTGCAAAATCTCAAGACAGCAAATTCTGAAGCGCAGTCGGCAGATATCCATGAAACGTTCAAACCTGGCTTCACCGGAACTTTGGATTACAGCATGCTTGCTAGTATGTAGCCATCATATAGCTATCCTGGCTATGGACTTCAAGTCTATAGCGTCCCAGTCGACTCACTTCACTCGGGTGACCCCGTCTGGTGAGTCCGACAGATCCGAACTTTTGGGTTCGTCTCAGCAGACGACCAGCTCCTGGATGACAACCTCGTCCCCCTGGGATGTGCCCCTCCTACAATTAGAGAGCACATTGGGCGCGTAGGGCGTTGCACTTAACCAACCATCTGCCTCACTTGCTCAGGTGACTGGCACCGAACGGCGCCTGGACTTAGCCGCGCGGTCATTGCGGATGGCTTGGGATATTATCTCCTCTGTGATCCCAACGGAATTCCTCGAGGCTGTTCGGCTGCAGCTACGTCTCTAGCTGTGTAACTTTCTTACACCAATGAACTAGACCCTCCGGCCCCTGCCGCAGGCCTCCTGGCTGCGCAAGGGAAGCCGCCTCAGCTCTGCATGCACCGGCGTGTACACTGCTGAGTGTGCAATGGCGCTCATTGAGAAAACGGTCAATGCATCCCAGAAAGTAGACTTCAACGTCAGTTGGGTGAGTGAGAGATGCGTCGAAGCCCGCTTGAATTATTGTTCAGCACATTGAGTTGTGGCTTCAGACAGGGTGCATGCAATTCTCCGCTGAGGAATTGGACCAGTACTGCAGGCAGGCGATCATAGACAACAGCCGCTGGATCAATCAGTGGCTTGGGCGGCCTTTCGTGCTGCCGCACATCCACGGCAACCTTGGGGATCAAATCCAGGGATTTTCCGGCTTGCAATCTCTGAGCACCTACGCAGAGGTCAAAGCCAAAGTCGCCCAAGCACATCTCCAGGGCTGTCAGTACTGCTACACCCACAATGGTATGTGCTCCACAAACCGCCCAGTGCACATCGACTTCAGCGGGCTTCCTTGTGAGGACAACAGTAGGGCCAACCACAAGCGGGCCTACTTTGAAGGTCGCTATGGCAAGCTCTACCCAATATGGGCCAGGATGCACAAGACAAGACGCACGCCGCTAGTCATCCTGGAGAATAGCCCCGAAACTCGACTGCGTGCAGTGCTAGTGATTCTGGCGTAGGATATTGAACTATATAGTGACACTCATCGTCAGGATCCCGCAGAGCCATACAAAGAAACCTCCGTGCCAATGCCAGGACATTCCGGTGGACGAGATCAAAAACCTCTTTGCGCCCGACTACAACGTCTACCAGCTTTTCTTGGCGCCGGGGGATGTTGGCCATAGTGGGATCAATAGACGACGAACGTTCATCTTTTGCTCCCACAAGGAATGTTGTGAATATCTCTGGGATCTTCACGATGCAATGGAGTTGCTCAAAGGCAGGATTTCGGAAGAGGTCCAGACACTTCCGAGCGACTACAGAGTCTCG